AATAACTGGTCTAGTCTAAAGTAGAAATCACATTCATTTACTCAAAGACAGACTGAGAGAAATCTTTCCACAATATAAATTTCCATCGTACTACGTGTGTGTGAATATATACGTCTTGGTCAGGGATATCTTGTCTGAAGGATTTGATGATTTTTGGTGGATGGTGTCATGCAGACACATGCAGACTCCACACAGAAAGTTTAACCTAGGCAAGAATGTCAGTTACTGTATAAGGGGCCACATTCCTGTTAGTAGATTACCCTCTATAGAGGGTAATGGACTCAATTAAATGAATCACTCATTATATGAGCAACACTAATAATAATATCCTTCCTTTCAGTTGCTTTTAAAGAACTTATTTTTAGCCGCCTCTTTGCTCTTTGCTCTTATCAGCAGCTCTTTAAATGTCCTCGATCGATGGAAGTCTTGGTTCTGCACAAAAACACAGATCCAGAAGTGAACGAGAGCAGCTCCAGACTGAAGCATGAGTCATGAGGCAATCTGCAGCACATGCCCCACGGAGGAGCTGAGATCGCACCGGCAACCTCGCCAAAAACAGAGGGAGGGAGGACAGAGAGAGAGGAAGAGAGAGGGAGGAGAGTGGGCTGTGCTGAGATCGCACCTGCAACCACGGTCAAGAAAGAGAGGGAAGGAGGAGAGAGGGAGAGAGAGGACCATACCAAAAAAAAAAAAAAGTGAGGCAGAGGAAAAAGAAAGGGACAGAAGGGGAGGAGAGTGGGTTGAGCGGTGATCACACCGGCAACCATGCCAAAAAAGAGAGAGAGAGGGGGAGGAAGAAAGAGAGGAAAGAGGGAGAGGAAAAGAGAGGAGAGAGAAAGAAAAGGGGTGGAGCTGAGATCGCACCAGCAACCACAGCCAGAAAAAATAGGGAAGAAGGGAGAGAAAGAGAAGAGAGGGGACACCAGCAACCACGGCCAAAAGAGGGAAGGAGAGAGAGAGAGAGAGACAGAGACAGACAGAGAGAGAACATCAACAACCACAACCAAAAAAGAGAGAAAGAGAGACAGAGAGGTATAGAGGGAACCCTAGCAACCACAGTCAAAAGAGAGAGAGAGAGACAGAGAGAGAAGAGAGAGGGAACACCAGCAACCACAGCCAAAAAGAGAGGGGAGGAGAAAGAGAGAGAAAGAGAAAGGAGCGAGGGAGCATTGGGAGCACCAGCAACCAGAGAGAGAGACAGAGAGAAAAGGAGCACCAGCAACTACAGCCAAAAAAGAGAGAGAGAAGGAAAGAGAGAGAGAGAGAGAGAGAGAGAGGGAGCACCAGCAACTACAGCCAAAAAAGAGAGGGAAGGAGAGGAAGAGAGAGAGAGGCAGAGGAGAGACAGGAAGACAGGAAGAGCCTAAGTGCACCAGCAATCACGGTCAAAACTCAGAACAAAAAGAAAGAGATAAAGAGGGAGAAAGAGAAGAATGGATGGCGAGACTGAAACATGGAGAGTGAGAGATGGGATGAGATGCAAGAAAGACAGCAAGAGAGAGAGAAAGAGAGAAGAAGAAGAGAGCAATGGAGAGGGGAATGAGGGGTATGAACTGTGATCTCAATGACTCTCTCCATTACCGTTTGGATTCTCGATAGACTCTCTACACAGGAAGAAAAGCAATAGAGGGAGAAGGAGAGAGAGAGGGGGATGGCTACATTCATTACATTCATTACATTCATTTGTACTACATTAAAATTCATACAGTAACAAAGCCATAATCATAAAATTGAAGTCTCACAACATCACAAAAAGAAACTGTAGTAAAATAGACAATGAGACATGGAAAGAAAAATTAAGAGAGAGATTACGGGAGAGGACGAGAAGAAAACTAGTAGGGAGGGAGAAATATAGAGAAAAATAGTGTCATGACCCTTTAGAAAACATAAAGGGTGAGATAGAAAGCGTGTATAGTTTTTGGTGGAGGGAAGAGCAGAGGGCTGGAGACGTGTGGGCGTTATAACAGACTCCACCACATGCAGTGACGATGAGAGACATGTCACATTTGTAGCAGCAGAAGAAGAAGACGTAACACTCGGTTTTAAGCCTGAGGTTTCAATTAGGGGTGTCAAATTATCGCGTTAATTGCGATTAATTAATTACAGTCATATTTAGCGCATTATGTTTTTTAATCGCGTTAATCTCATTTTTAATCTCTAACTTTACTGTTTCTGTATGCGAGTTGCTTTATTATAAAATCTGTTTTTATGTGTTGTTGGGACAACAACACACACACAAAAAAAACACATTTATTGATTTTTTTTTATTTCAGTAATTCCACTCATTGCCAGAAACCCACACAAAATGCGCGCAGTAAGAGCGATGTAGGCTAAACTAGGGGGACCATATTTCCATCTGTGAAAACACCTTACCGGGGTGGGAGGTGGGGCCTCGACATTGAGCTACAGTCGTCCCTCGCTATATCGCGGTTCACCTTTCGCGGTCTCGCTGATTTTTTTTTTTTTTTTGTGTCAATTTGGCATGTTTTTTTTTTTTGTTTTTTTTTAACACATGGGTGGGTCAGGACTAAACCAGGTCTAAACCAGGACTAATCTTGGACTTAAGAGAGAGAACGCCGAGCAGTTTGCTTGCAAAGCACGATCAGACAATTGCCGCGTTTACCTCCGTGAGGTGTGGAGCTCTCCATCGGTCCCTTCTCCTGCGGTCACCTCCGGCCCGTCCTGTCCCACTGGCTTCAGTCCTGTTTCAGTCCTGGTTCAGTCCTGGTTCAGCCCATGGCGTAGGCAGCGCAAAAGCTTGATATAATCACGGGTTAACGGGCGGGTGCGGTGTTGTACTGCAGGTCTCCAAAAATGGACCTGTGCAGGACTCTGCGCTGTAGTGCTCTATTATGGAATAGATCAATCTTGGGTTCGTTACATAAAGAAGGAGGAAAATAACAAAAGGACAACAGCAGCAATAAGTTTAAAGAAGGATGCAAAAAGGGTTGTAACTGTCCTGTGTGAGAAAAGTGTATAAAGTTTGTGGTGAGGGGTTTTACAGCTTTAAAACAGATATAATAATTGTAAATATAAAGTTGACTACTTCATTGATTTCACCTATCGCCGGTTATTTTTAGAATGGAACCCCCGCGATAAATGAGGGAACACTGTACTCTCACCTCACAACCTGTGCACATGTCCTCTCACCTGTCCTGACCGGGATGGAAAACTGAGAATTTGTTGTACAAGTCATTGTTAAATGCGCATTTACTCTTCGGTATGTTGCAGGCTGACCAACTGTTTGTGTTTGCTTGCTCTCGCTTCTGGGTCACAGAGAACTACGAAAGCCGAGCAATTTAATGCCCCCAATGAACTGTAATGAAAACCCGGACATTTCCATCACTTTAAAAAAAAAAAACTGGACGCCCAGGACAAGACGCAAAATACGGACAGGTCCGGGGAAAAACGGACGTTTGGTCACCCTACACTAGTAGATTAAATAAATTTATAGGGTGTAAAGGGACGGACTTTCAAATGTCAAAATAAAGTGGTAACATTTATTGACCGTAACAATTATGCACCTGCATGATTCAGTGGTAATACAAAGTTAAAACCACACAACCACAGGAAAAATCCTCCCTGCAGACAGACATGTTTGTGTACCGCACTAAAATCAATTTACTCCTTTTGGCGGGAGACTGGCCCTCGGAAGTTGAAGTAAACACATAGAGACATCATCCAACTGCTCTCTGGAAGTTATTTTCAATCAGTCTGTAAATATAGCCCATCAGAATGACCTCAAGCAGCTTTCTCTGGGTAAAATGTTGTAAAAATCTCATGTTCAGGGGCCTTCATGTTCTGACAACTAAATGTTTAATCAAAAGAAATATGGCAAGATGAATCAATTGCCAAAGTAATCGTTAGTTGCAGCCTTAGCATATTCCCACTAGCCATGTAGTTTCAAATAGCTAATATTATAAATACACTATTAATATACTAGACAATAAGGAAAGATTTAGATGATTATCTTTATTTATTTCAGATTCAAGAGATTTTTTATCATTGTCAGAGAAAACAACAAAAATACATTTAAAGCTTCAAACACTGCATAGTTTGGATGTAAAGTGCAATATTACAGGTAAAAGACCCCACCCAGTAACCCCTTAAATAACTGTAAACATTTGCACAATAAGGACATTCAGTGCAGCACATTTGTAATAATGCAACAATGCAAAGTCCAGTTCAATATTTAATTGGTGGATGTGCTTATTGTCCAAGGGAGAAAGGCCAAGAGGGGAAAGGGGCACTGTTCAGCATCCTCACAGCCGAGGGATACAGGCTGTTGGTCAGTCTGGTTGTTCTGGACTCTATGGACCTGTACTTTGTACTTGAGGGCAGCAGGTGGAAAAGGTGATGAGCAGAGTGGTGTCGGTCAGGCAGACCGCGAGTGGCGTAGATGCTACTGATCTGCGGGGGAGGCGCCCCAGTGATTTTCCCCGCTGTTTTTACCACCCGCTGGAGAGCCTGTAGATGGGCCTTAGAGCAGCAGAGAACCACACTAAAAATCCAGATGTCAGAACACTTCTGATGGCACAGTTGTAGTAGTTCACCATCACTGGACTGGGGATGTTGGCGCTCCTCAGTTTCCTAGTAAAGGCGTTGTTGGGCTTTCCCCAGAGCGGAGGCAGTGTGAATGTCTCAGGACAGGTCCTCAGTCACGATCACCCTCTCATTTGTTTCTTTTTGTTCCTCCATTAAATTCGCAGGTCCAATGTGCCCCTCAGCACCTGCACAGTCACAATATAAACACAGGGATCATAGAGTAAAAATCTTGTTGTAAAACTTGCAAAAACTTAGTATAGGTTCTTTTCTCTCACCACTGTTGGAGGTTCTCGTTCCTCTGGAGATCTTCATCAGGAGAGGTGCTTTAGTTTTGTTGGAGGTTCTCGTTCCTCTGGAGATCTTCATCGGGAGTGGTGCTTTAGTTTTGTTGGAGGTTCTCGTTCCTCTGGAGATCTTCATCAGGAGTGGTGCTTTAGTTTTGTTGGAGGTTCTCGTTCCTCTGGAGATCTTCATCGGGAGTGGTGCTTTAGTTTTGTTGGAGGTTCTCGTTCCTCTGGAGATCTTCATCAGGAGTGGTGCTTTAGTTTTGATTAGACTGAACTTCAGAGTCACAGCAGATTACACAGACTGAAGGCCTTCTCCCTTGTGTTGGCCCGAGTCTCTTATTGGACCAGGTCTCGTTCACCTCTTCCTCTCATATGGGTGACAGCATCTGATGGGCCACACTCCAGGGATGTTTTTGGATCCTAAAACACAAGTTCGGTGTAACTTTATATTCTACTTTACCACAGAGATTTAAACTGTACTTTCAAATAAGAACTTACAGAGGTCTGTGGATCATCTGTCATTGTAGCTGTAGACCTCTTAGCAGAGATGACGATGATTATGGATCCTAAAATTGCAATAAAAGTAAAAAACACATTATTTATCATTATTTCATTATTATTTGTCTCATTTCTCAGAATACCTTGTGTTCTGACGTTAGAATCAGGGCTCCCTCTGGTGGTGGTTCACTGCATTTTGTGGATGACTCCAGGGATAGCTCCAACAGAGACGCACCTTTCTCTTAAAAGCAAACAACAGTCTTTAGCAATTAATACAAATATTACATTAGTATTGATCTTTACTCACCAGGGACACGGTGGATCTGACTCAAACACATTTCTGGACAAACTTACACAGCGGCCTGCCCCCCAGTTAAAGCCCTTTTTATGGAACTAGGAAAAAAGTATTAAGAGCGCATCTACACTCCTTCTGTGGGATTGATCCACAAATACTATAGAGATGCACTTTGGTTTAGGCCCTCCTTTAAATGAACAACCATCCTGAAAAACAGAGGCTTTTGCGTACTGATACGCTGTGCAAAGAAGCAAGTACAGTGTTGTATCATGTAAACACAATTAAAATTCAACTTAAATGGGAGAAGTAGGGAGTGTCCCACCAGCCGACAAGTTAGTGAACAAACCCAAGTCTCCACATTTTACAAATTACTGAAAAAAAAAAAAAAAGAAAAAAAGAAAAGAAAAAAAGAGAGAAACTGAGTGTCCCACTAATTCTCTAGTGAGTGGACAAATACAAGTCTCCACATCTTACAAATCATTATAAAATAAAAATAAAAATACAATCTCCACAGAGACTGTTCACAGGAGTGTAACATTACAAATCAGTTTAAATAGTTTACAGAATAGACACGATAACACTGATACACATGTAGTGTAAACGGTTTAGTTCTAAATACCATGTTGTGCTAAATCTACATATTAACCTTAAATTATAATTCCTGAAAAATAAAAAAAAAAATAAAAAAACAACAAAAGAAAAAAAAGAGAGAAACTGGGTGTCCCACTAATTCTCTAGTGATTGAACAAATCCAAGTCTCCACATCTTACAAATCATTATAAAATAAAAATACAATCTCCACAGAGACTGTTTACAGGAGTGTAACGTTACAAT